TATTATTATTATTATTATTATTATTATTATTATTATTATTATTATTATTATTATTATTACCAAATTATTACTATTCCACTGTTTCGGCTAGTCGCATTAGTTAGTAAAAATAGGATTTGATGTGCAGGTGCTGGCGAGTGCATTTCAAGAGTACCACACACGAACTTGTATACGTTTTACGCCTCGAATCGTGTTTGATTACGACTATTTGTATATTGGCAAAATTGACGGGTTTGTTTGCTTTCGTTGTTTGAGCAATGCAAGCAGGTAAGGTTAATGAACGGAGAGTAGCTGTGGTCATTTACTTTTGACCGTTGATATGAATATCATTCATCGTTTTTTAAGCTTCAGCTGGTCATCTCCATGGAGTTGCGTAGGTAGGTTGGGGAGTTACGAAGAATTTAGCTATAATATACTTCTCGAAACACTCAACAATACAATAAATAATAAAGCCTAATTTCCTTGAATGAGTATTGATGAGGGTTTTACATAGAACGTGTACTACTGGTAATTGTATAGGTGTATATCATTCGAAAAATACTGCTACATTGAAATTTTTTATTTAAGACAGAAAAACTATTTAACAATAAAAAGTTGTTTGCGAAAAAAATGCTGTTTGAGAAATATGGAAAATCTTCCCATTACAAGCACAAAAAACTGACGCATGAACTTGTGTGAGAAATAACATGGGGCGGCTGACATCTTTAAGGTGCTATTCGGACGTTGGCCGTGCGGGTGGTCGGCAAGAAGTATCGTTAGACAACGGATGTCTGCAGTACAGCACAGCAATTCATGAGCTGATGCACGCAATTGGATTCTTTCATGAACACGAACGATGGGATCGTGATAATTTCATCGCGATTCTTTGGAGCAATATTGATCAAGGCGAGTCCTTTTAGTTGTATTCGATGCATCGTGATGCTGCTATTTGTGACAACCTCAGTCAATACTGCACTCGGAAGTTTATAATTAAACACTTTTCTGCTCACCTTCGCACAAATACTCATGAGCTCTAGCGATCCAATTTTTCGTTTCGACCCGTTCCTGGGATTAATACCTTCGTGAGTTTATTTGAGATGCTTGCAAAAATTATGATTCGTTAAAGGAGTTGTTTAGAAATGAACAGAGTTGAGAAAGACATAGTTGAGGAGAACATATGAGAATAATTTCGGTGTGGAAGGCGAAATTTCGAATAGAAATGCCATATGGGTAGATAATTTGCGTAGCGATGGTTCAAGCTAGTGTCCTCTGGAAGCGGCAGTGTACACTTTCAGGTGCTTATGATCAGTTCAGTAAGGTTGATTTAACAGACAGTTCTTATTATGGACAACCGTATGACTATTATTCAATCATGCACTACGATAGTTTGGCATTCAGTAAAAATGGGCATGAAACACTTATTGCAAGAAGGTTTGTACATGATTGCACTCAGTTTATAATAAGTATTAATAATGTTACTGAGAATCATTGTATTTATTGAGTTGGTGTCTGTCACTTGCAACTATCATGTTTCAATGCATACAGTCCTGGAATGACATCAATAATGGGCTCAGCAGTGGACTTTTCTGCAAGTGATGTGGCTAAAATCAACGCAATGTATTCTTGTTCAACAGCAGCAACAAAACGAACCTATTTCTACAACAACTATGTGTTTCCGCAAACGAATCGACTTATCAATGTATTTCGTCATCACTTGTCAAAACTATCCAAGTCGCTATCATCCATATTAACAGTTCCATTCAACAGTCCAAAAGACGATACACTTTTGATCCTTCCTAATGAATCACAAAAGAAATAAGGTTCGCGTTTAAGGCAAAGTGAATGCAGCCAATTTCTCAATCGCATTCCAAACCAACTGACCAGCAAATAGTGGTGATTATCGATCTTTATTAGTCTCAATTTCGATCAACTGCCCATGTTTTCATTATGTTTATGGGAACACTGAAAATCCCAGCGTGAATTGTGAACCTGGTAAGTTCAAATGAATGATTGTCGAATTCACAGAACTTTGAAATAATAAAAGTTGTTGACATCAGTTAATTGTTAAGAATGTGTTATTTATTACTATTATTATTCCATTAAGTTGTTATTATTAATCATTATCATTCTATCATTAAACTGTCATTATTATTATCACTATGTTATAATTATTATTGGTATGATATTTGTGGCATGATAAAAATCAGTCATTTTCAAGAACTGTATAATTGTTTCAATAATTTCTATGCAATTTGCTACCATGCCTGGTTTAGGCGTTATATCATCAAGTTGTGCTGATCGGTCATTAAGTAACATCCACTAGAATCATCAGTGATTTGAAAGTTGGCATAGGTTGACGGGAAAAAATCGATTATGCCACTTTCGATGATTGAGAATGCGAGGCTTGAAAGCTTCATTATGTAAGGATACTATCTGCACGAAAACAGGATTTTGATAGCGGCTGCCAAAAAAATGTTATTTGTGAAACTTTTGAATGAGATTAATCCTGCTTCAGCGATCGATGCAGAGTCGAATCGATGAAGATTCGAACGCAAATAAACGAAACTTTTCTCATTTGTAAATCACAAACGATGTTGTGCAGTTGACAAATTAGTGATTACTGATAAGCGATCACACATTCTTATGGCACCATCTATATTGCATATATAAAAAATGCATCAATCATTGGTACGTTTAGAAAATTTCTTAATGTTACTACTCCCAATTATTGACACTGCAATCACAAATTCAAAGCTAGCATTTGATCAGCTCAAGCGAATGGATGATCGCCATTCACCATCAAATGATACGACTGAAGGCACTGCTCCTCCCCCGCCGTTTAACAATTCGTTACTTCTCAGAGATAAATCATAAGAATTTATGTTCCCTACTATGATTGTATCAAAGGAGTCAATTCTCTGTGATCACACGAGCATTTTGAGAACGTTACTGGACAATTATGGAAGGATTATGAAACAATCAATCAACAGTGATTTGTCAGTCTCCTAAATTCCTTCAGAAAGCCCCCGAATTACCCTCTCGGAGGGACCTTCGCTCTATGACATCCACGATATACAAGGCTATATAAATTAAGCATCCATATTATCACATACTGATCAATTCATTGGGTTGGACCCAGAGGGACAACAGACTTTCTTTACTGATTTTTATGATAATATTGGAAGTTATCTACCTTTTTTTAGGAGAAAGACTCAAGAAGCATTCATTTGCACTGTCGACATAGCGCTCTGTCGTCCTGCACTGATAAGAAATGCGTTTTCTTCACCAACATTCCACTAGTAAATAGATTGTTAGCTGTGTCAGTGCATAATGTAGAGCATCGCTTTCATTCATTATTTGCGCTTATAATTTCTAACACCGTCTTTATGATGAGAAAAGTTGGGATGGGCACTTATTATGTTATCGGAGCTCAATTCAATGGTCAAGAACATTGATGATGCTGATGATGATATGTTCATGATTATCATTATTATTATTACCAATGTTATCATTCTCAAAATTGAGTTTAACTTCATTTCATTAACCGTCGCAGTCGAGAATCTGCACGAGTCAACAATTTCGACGAATTGTTTGTAATGAATCGGTGTATAGGACGCTTTTTTGCAATTTAAGACTTGAAATAATGAATCCTACACTGTTTCTTGACGAAGATAATCCTATGTTCGAAGGACCCGACCAATCATGAGCTTGAACAATACTTTGTCTCTTAAAAATAGTATGGCGTCATCGCGTTGATGTCTTAAAAATGATCCATTGGTATCAAATTGATAACTGTCGTGTCAATATTCCAAATCTGAGTTTCATTCTGCTCACCTATCAACCTTTAATGCTTGGATTTGAATCACTGGCTGTTAGCATAAAGTATAAAGATTTCTAACAAAATGAAATAAATGACTTTGAAGGATAATATGGACGATACAGAACAACTGATAGATAACGAGACAGTAAGCAGGTAAGAAATATTATGAATAATCGTTGCTGATCAATATCCACCAGTTTTTAGTGCTTAATTTTGATTCAGGATGCGAACTTGTCACAGGTTTTGGTGTAGTCTTTATTCATTTTTTTGGAACTTCAATCAACTGCTGACTGTAAGTGGCAAACAAAGTTCGATCTGAAATCGTAATGAAGATTAGATAGATAGGAGGAAATTGTTATCAGTGTGATAATTACATAATCTTTTAATTATCACACTGATAGAGACTTCCTATCCTTTCAAGTACATATTCATAATCAAAGATTTCCTCCAATGACTACACTCTGATGTTTGTTTGGCTTTGATCTCGCCATCTAATTGTTGATCGACTACACCTGTTCTGCAGATTCTAAACGAGCAGCTAGCTTCATGAACTAATTTGTTTTCCGTAACGAATTTCTTGTCTGTAAAGTTCTCGAGCGATTCATTCATAGATCAATTCCCTTTAAGGGATATCTTGCTATCTCCATTCTCTCAACTTTTATCAATAAATTGGTTACGAAAAGCAACCGATAAAAAGTATTTTCGAAGCCTCACGTATCAAGCAACTATCTCACGTGAAAAATATCCCGTTTTCATGTAATATCTTTACATGCATAATTATCACACTGATAAAGGTGTCCTCCAATGAACAATTCGAAACCACATTCGAAATTATCTTCAAGGTAACAAAAAATTATTCGAAAAAAGGAACAAATAGTTTCAGCAACGAAAATGAATAAATGATAAAGTTTGATGAAAAATTTGGTGATCAAGAGGAAAAAATTACTTCAGACGATTGACTCTTGGTGGTAAAGTTTCGATACATCGCGTTATCGCTGGTGTTGCTGTTGCAGTTGGACTACTGCTCTTTTTGACGACAATTCTTTTTGCAATCTTATACTTTGGAACTCGAAGAGAACATGTTAGCAACAGAAATCATTTAAGGATATTTCTTGTCACTTAAAATTGACGGTTCATTGGGTGTTGAACTGCATGATAGCCATTTTCACTTTCTGTTGTGAATCATAGTGCCCAATTGGTGTTCTGTTTTGGTGATATTATGAGAATTATATAATTAAAGGTACCTGAATGGCCCGGCTCAAAGAACAGCTTGAATGGACGATATTCAACAGCTGCAGTCGCATCCGATAACGTTCTTTGCTCAGAGATCGGAAGAAACATTTTAGTGCAAGGCGGAAATGCAGTTGACGCGGCTATTTCGGTGCTTCTTTGCCTTGGCGTTGTACATCCAATGAGCAGTGGTTTAGGTGGAGGTCATTTCATGACCATCTATAACGCGTGAGACTTGTGCATTATTCATTTACATAATTTACATTCCATTTTTATAATCTTTATGCATTCCAAATATTCATTTTTTCAGCATGAAACTGTTATTAACTAGGCGAAGTACTTGTCGCTTTATTACTCGTAACTTCACCGTTTGTTTTTGTAGAGCACGGCATATCTTCATGGATCGTAGAGCACAAATTGCTCTGAAACACCAGCTCAGTCGTTCTATCTGCCTTTGAATGTAGATAAGTCCAATGAAATTGATATCGTTCATCAAAACTATCTTTCCAAATTCAATTTATTCCATTTTCTTTTAGCACAACAAAAACGTGCCATGTTGTTGATGCTAGGGAAAGAGCCGCTGCGGCCGCCTTCCAAGATATGTTCAAAGGACAGTCGGAAGCTTCACAGAAAGGTTATCAATGTTATTTATTAATATTGTTGATGTTATTTATTAGTATTAATAATAATAATATTATTATTTTCCATTTTGATCGCATCTAGATCGTATTTCATTTCAATCATTATTAACTCCTTGAAACAGGTAATCATTCAATTTACGATTAATCAGAGCAGTTTGCAAATTTTGTTGTGATTTACTGAAAAGACGAAACTGCCGAAGAATGTGTCAGCAAAACTGTCTTTATGTGATTTTATGATTGTTCTGGTCATATCCTGATCGCATAGCTCTACCGTACAGGCTGGCGAGCAATGGCAGTGGCTGGAGAATTGCATGGACTGCGTACCGAATATGAGAATTTCGGTGGTGCTATAGAATGGAAGAAACTTTTCGAGCCATCAATCGATCTGCTGAACAGAGGTGTTCAAGTCTCAGAAGCGCTTAGTGTTACAATGCGGGTTTGTTTACTGTATGAATGGAATTCGCAAAACTTTTAACTTCTGTGAGAATGCTTCTGCACGATCATTTATACTAAATCCATCAAAGTGTTTTAAAGTGCTTCATTTTCATTGAATGTTTCCTGAACATTAAAAGTCGAGTTGATTTCATCCTTTGTATGAATAAAGTAATCCGTTTATATCGCTGTTGTGAAACGAATAAAATCTGATTATTGATTATTAAACAACCGTTTAATCATTTTAGGCTGAAAGAGATAGTATTCTCAGTGAACCGACCTTAAATGATTTCGTTAATCCGAAAACGAAAGATATTTATAAACGTGGTGATATTTTGAAAGGAAGAACAATGCTAAGGTGAGTATATGTTTGATTGGTATTTTGTGATATACCACGAATATCTCCTTTAAAGAAACATTTCAATGGCAGAGTATTTGTTCCATTAATAGTGTTTCATTTTGAAAGTGAATGTTCCTAAAAAATATTTGGCATTTTCAGAGATACTTTGCGTTTTCTCTCTGAATCAAAAGATCCAATTAAAGATTTCTACAATGGCTGGATGACCGAGCAATTCGCTTATGAATTCCAGGATAATGGTCAGTGCTGATAACCATTCATTTGCTTTCTTGATAGCTAACATCTTTTTTATTCCCGTTAACAAACTCAATTGTTTGCTGATGGCAAATTCATTTTTCTAGCCCATGTTTTTCACACATGAGATATTAAGGTGATCCAAAATTAGTCCAAAAATAGTTCCGTGTAATGAACGGACGTATGAAAATTGGTGTTTTTGAATGTGCAGTTTTTCAACAGTCATTAAGATCAGTCGAAATAATACGCAAAGAGTTCAGGTGGCATCATAACAGCAGATGATTTTCGAAATTACCGTTCAATTGTGCGCAAAAGCGATGAGATAATTCGAACGAATCTGAGCGAGTATTTCGTTTGTGGACCGCCTCCACCGTCCTCATCAGCCGTCACGCAGTCAATCATTAAAGTGATGGATACGCTCGGACCAAAATATGATCAAGTTCGTTTTGCTTCACCTGTCATTGCTGACAGCTAATTTGAAAAGCAGTTTAGCAATCAGTCGCGATGATCGGCACTTCAAAATTCACAGTATTTGCGCTTCTTTAATGAAGATTGCCTGACTCTTATAAGTTTTAGACGACAATCCAATCCAATGAACAGATTCTGCACAAATATTTGGAAGCTGGCAAGTTCGCATATGCGATGCGCAGTGAATTTGGTGATATGGACTACATCAAAAATGCTTTGGCTATCGCTAAGTATGTGAAACATTCATTTTGGCCAAAACGTTTATTATTATTATTTTTTCTGATCGCAGTTGCTGTTATAAATAATAACCTGTAATACTGATAATATTAGCATTAGTTTCGATTTCAGTATCGTATAAAACAGTGTTCGATAAGAAATGAATATCTTTATTTTCCGGCGACTTCGCTTCCTTTACTGATTATTTTAGTTATTTGATAGGTTCGAAGAGAACAGTAGGGTGAACAGTTTACAGAGACAAATGACGTTTTTTTTTGTGTGCTGAGTGCGTGTCACAAGTTATTATGAATTGCTAAATTTTATGCTCTCTTGAACTGCATCTAATTCTTTCAAAGAAATATGACATCGGATTCGTGGGCCAAATGGGTAATCGACCGTATCATGGAGCGTTCTCAACCAACCAGTTACTATGGTGGTCATTTTGCACCAAAATTCGATAAAGGTACCACAAATATCGCTGTCATCGACAAAGACGGTAATGCAGTCGCTTCAACCACAACCGTTAATTTGCTGTACGTTCTTCTTTTTTTTTCGCATTCATTTTTCACCGATTTCATTCGAGCCAGTAAAATCCATCAAAACAGCCACTGAACAGTCAAAGTATCCTGCACTTGGTTCAATGGGCGCTTTTTATGCGTGCCATCCAACATTCAATAAGACGGTGGATCACAAGAAGAATGTGGACCAAAACTATACCTATGAATGTTGTGGTAGTGTTACCACGCATATAAAGGAATAAATAAACGAATAATTTTTACATGTGACAATTTGCAGGTGGTTATTGTGTCCTCTACATACTATCACGTAACACTTATTTACAGTTTTGGAGCGCGAGTCGCGTCAGAAAGCACTGGTATCATTTGGAATTGTCAAATGGATGATTTTTCATTGCCAGATCGACCGAATTTCTACGGATACCCTCCTGCGCCTGCAAATTTCATACGTCCCGGCAAAAGACCGATGAGCTCAATAAGCCCGCTGATTTTCGTCAATAAAACTAGCAATGAAGTTTGTTTGTTCTGTTTCACTCAAATGAAATTACCAGTAATGTACGTTAGAGGATGGTTTCGTCAGTGAAAAACGTTCAAGTGAGTTACGCGTTTAGACTGAAACTGATGATTGAAGGTTGAATTGGCGATTGGTGCAGCCGGTGGCTCAACGATAATCACAACCGTATCAACGCTTGCAACTCGAATTCTGAAAATGGGTTGGGATTTGAAGAGCGCCATGGACGCTCCAAGAGTGCATAATCAATGGCTGCCGAACGTAACCCAGTATGAAACCAATTTTCCGAACGTATGATATTTTCAAGGCTGTGCTTCGTTATGTTGCATTGTCATTGTTCGTACTGTCTCAGATGAACTGATTTTCAGGCGTATGTACAAGCGCTTGCTGAACGTGGACATATCATGGAGTCGGTAAGAGCGATCGGTGAGACAACTGGAATCCATAAGAAAGGTGGTCTGCTTTATGCCACCTGTGATTTTCGAAAAGGTGCTGAAAGTCAACCGGCTGGTTACTGATTGATGATGACGATAGTGATGAGAATGATGATCGAATATATTTCCTTGCTGCTGGGATTCATCTAATTTACATGAAAATATTCACGGAATGAACATAGCTGAACCTATCGAGCGGCCATTCAAAGGATTTGCATGACGATAACAGCTGAAACGGTGCGCCATTTATTAGTTAGATAGGTGTTGAAAACAAAAATCGAAAGAACTTATTATTATTATTATTATTATTGTTATTGCTTTTGTCAATATCTGAATCCCATCATTTTACATATATTCAATACTTTGTTAAATAGGATATTGTAAAAATCAACTGTTCAGTAGAATGCACTCTAAAACTTTCGTTCTTTTTTCATCGAATGAAATTAAAAATTTTTAGTCAGTTTACTTCACATTACAATGAAATGAAGAAGAAAGAGTCAACTTCATAATATTTTATGCAAGTTATCGATCAACTCATAAGATATCGTCATCATCATTAAATAATTTCTTCATTATATAATACATCAAAAGCACGAATTTGTTACACTGACACATACATATATCGACAAAAACCATTTCATATAACTCAATTAAAATAACAAGGCACCAGTTTTTCAGTTTGGTATTGAAACAAAATCACAAATACAATTCTTGGGCGAACTAAAAAAAGAGCACTCAATTCAAGTGAGCACGAATACTATGAGCAAGTTGATAAGAATAATTAAACCATGTTTGCGAAGGAATCATCGATGGTCCTCTGAAGCCAGTTGCTGACAGTAAAATTGCACCAGAATAAATTCATAAAAAGCGATACAACGAATGGAAAGATCATATAGATGCTATAATGTTCAATGATCAATTAGTTCGATCACAATTATTGCTCGAGGTAATCGAGCAATATTGCTTTTACTCCATCATTGGAACAACGAGCCTACTTCCGAGGAGGGTTTTTTTCCGAAGGAGATGCTCAGCTCTTGAGATGAAAATTTCGAAGAGTTTTCAAGCTGAATTTCACAGCGGAAAAAATCTTCGAAGTTGAATGAATGCAAATGGTTTGAATAAGTGATATTTTTAGCATTGTAGAAATTCAATTAGCTCAATCACAAATACAATAACTCAAAAAATCATCAATTGATGAGTTGGAACATAATCTTCCAGAGAAAGCTTTCAGTGTATTTATTTGAAATGAACATTGTTGCGATAAAGTGATTAGAAATTCTTTGGCCATTTGATATCATGTGGAACGAACGCATCTAACAGACGGCACAATAAGCTGCATCATCACAATGAATTGAGATGAGATCGATTATGTTTAGATGATATAATAGAATATGGCTGAGAATGTAAATTGCATTGATGCACGTAAAGTGTTCATTGCATCTGATTTTCAGCGAGTAATGCTGGATCCTTATCAACTTCACAAAATGAATCCGTTTTTGTCAGTAAACATTTGTCGATATAATCCGCCACAGAATGTGTGTATTCAGAATACCTGCAATTGCACCATAAAAAGCGATATGAAAGATCATATAGATGCTAGAATGTTCAATGATCAATCACAACTACTGCTCGAGCTAATCGAAAAAAAAATCACACAGCACCTATCTGACACTCACCAATCACGTAGAAAGATATCCTTCATTTCGTCAATCAGTGATACACTACCGATAATGTTCGCTTCACGATGGCTGCTATCCTCATCTTGAACTGCCACAAATGCTGCACCTGTACTACCACCGTCAAAGTAATCACCCGACCAATTCGATGTTCCTAAAGTGAACACTTCTACCGATCCATTCATGGCATTTACTCCAATTTGACAATTCATCTCGAGTTTCTTTAGAAACTATGCATCTCAATTTTCCACTAGCAAATCATTGAGCCCTTCGGCTGTTTACCCTTCCGAGACTTACAAACGAGCAATATCCTATGACGTTACTTGCATAAGAATAGGGACATGGTGATCTTGCTTAAGTGAATTATCACTGATTTTTTATTAATTTTGTTAAAGGAATGCAAACGACTCGAATAAAAATTTGACGTGAACAGTTGATGAGTAAAGAGCGCAAATTAAATGTATGTGGTACCAACCAATGACAACCGTATTATCGCTCACTAAAAATTTATTGTGTGTTCGTCGTTCTCGTAATATCACTGTTTGCACCCCGGTGGATGTTGGTACTTTGAAAATACGCTAAAATCAATTGGTGAATTTAAACGAAACCCTTATGAAGTTCAATGGTAGCTTAAAATTAGAATGAAGTTAGATAAAATTCAGATGAACTCCAAAATTTAGGCAAAATTTGTACACTCTAATGAAATTATTTCTTGCCAAAATTCTTCAACCTACTGAAGTAGAAAATCAGTAGCAATTGAGCCAACGATTCAGTTACGTACCACTTCAATTGAACCATTTGGGTTGATACCACTGAGTGATTCCAGTGATGAAAGGAAAGGTAAACCCAGTTTTGGATAATGTAGTGCAGCAGTTAGCATTTTCACTTCAACACCACGAAAGATTGCGCGGCGCACTGCATCATCGATAGTGGGCCAATATCTGAAGAAGTTCGAATCAACAAGTAATTTAGCAATGGCGAAAACATCCAGAACTCCGTTTTGTAAATGCGTTAAATACAGCATGTGGCGGATGAACGCTAGTTGCATTCTTATTAATAAACATTTAAAAGTATGTGCGATACCAATACAGGATATTTGTCAATTTGTATTCATCATCATCACAAGCATAAACTTCGATGAGGGCTCGACGTAGAAAAAAACTGCGTTGATTCAATTATTTTGATGGGAGTTTTACGGGAATGAACAGAAGTAAGTGAATATGTATAAGTAAAATCTCGTGAAAAATATCATGCAGAAAATAGAGAATCACCTTGGTGGTTTGCTGTAGATGAACATCGGAAAATAGTCCATAACGTGTATATACAAATAAGATTTCGCATCATCAATTGCTCGTAAAATTGCATCTAAATCCCATGTGCGATGTGGTGCGTTCAGTGCCGGTGGAGAGGTCTGAACAGAGCAATTTGAATTGACAATGAACTACCATGATATGATAAGCAAGTTGGCTACTTCTAGCTTCAAACTTCAGAAAAGTATTTGACTTCATTCATAATGAAGTTAGAATTAGCAAAACAGTTGAGAAACACTGGGTATGAACTACCTTAACGAAAAACTTCAATCAGAGATTGAGTCAGTTGCTGGTGTACAGGACTCAGAGTAGCGTTTGACTGAGTCCCATATTGAAATTGCATCTCGAAACTGGCTAGATATTATCGGAAGAAATGAAGTTAACTAACTGCAATAAAAACATTGAGTGGAAGGCCATGATGAATAATACGAAGAGGATTCTGCATATTATAGATGGTTGAAGAAGCTTCATTCTGATGAATACGATTAGCGGCGTGATCGAACGATATTGAAGCACCATCAGCGGTTAGCTGCCAGTAAGAATTGAAAATATTTGAGAGATCGTTGGCCAGACATGGGCAATTCGTAACAACAACACCCAATTCCATTTTCTGAAATTAATTCGAGTTCTGATTTTGCAAGGTACTTAAAAACAAAGAATTGAGATGAATGGTGGGGTCCATACTACGGCCAATCTAGGATGCAACTTTCGGATAGCCGATGATCAGCGAAACAAGAGGTTAGTGCCGCAAAACTTTCCTCGACATAAACAAATGGTCGACAATATGGGCGCTCTACTGATTTCTGTCTGTATTCATTCCACTAGCTTAAGGCTTCCTGCAATCAACACGCCTTTGGAACTGATTCTCATAATTCTACTAACTTGATTCAACGATCGCCAGTCAAGATTCGCCGATCCCAAATAGAAACTCTTTTGATCGCTCACGATGAATTTCGAATGCATTGTTCCTTTACCAAGAATTTGTTTAAAGTTCAAATGTCGACGATAGACTGCACCTGGAAATCTTTCGAATCTTATTACAATACCAATCAATTGAGTATTTGGCCTAAATGAATGAATTCACTTTTAAAGCTCGAATAAATTTTGCATCCTACAATATCGACACTATTCCACATATTCAACAGTGAATAGAACAATTACAACGTGCTATCAGACGATCGGCTACATTCGAGCAATTTTAGCGTTCAGCAGTTGTGTGAAAATTACCTTTCCTATGTAGACTTGCCGCATCCTCATTGTCACCTTTATCTTTTGGTGGATAGTTCTCCACGATCCTAATTTGAACACCTTTTTCCGTACCACTTTCCAGCAATGAATTGAATATTTCTTCACCCTGCAATGTAAAAATAGTCAACTCATTATCTTCATTTGAAAATTTTCGAAACATCTGCAACGTATTTTTAAGTACGTATACACAGAAATGCAATCAATTGAAGAGTTACAGTAAATTAAACCAATTCAAGCAAGGAGATAAAAGCCGTTATTCTGAATATTTTTTCACGATCAACGGCGTGCGGATATCTTAAAGAGGTAAGAAACCTGCAGTGAGAACGCTTGCTGGTTTTCAACACCAAGAACATGCTTTCCGCGAAGACTCGACTTATAGGCGGCGATCAGAAGATCAGACCTGCAGTTACGAATCAACGATTGCCATGCACTAAACGTACTCTCAGGCAGTTTGCTTGTGCCGAATGTAACATTCTGAGGTATACTCTCAACGATTTTCAATCTGAAATGCTTTTCAATCGTAAACGCATTGTCTCGCAGCATAACAAATCATACGGAAACAAATAGAGGCAAGTACAGGTTGGTTGGCAGCTCTTGATCCAAGAAGCTTACAACCCTGATGATTTGAAGAGGAGTCATGTAATCGCATAATTTGCGATCAATCGTTTCCGTTTTCAGAAGGGTCTTTTCGATTCTGAAGAATTAATTGAGATAAAAACATACGTGCAAGTTCGAGAACATATGGCTCTTTGATCGCTAGATGATGTGATCGAAGTCGACTGCTTGACGAGTTGTGACCTGTTCAAGCATCGAATCTCGGACAGGCAAATAAATGCAAATGATGGGATAACGAGCACTGCGATAAACTGAAATCAATCAACGGAAGTTATTGATTATTGTCGTGATTATTCTTGCTTATCTGTATGATTATTAATATTGTTATTATTACCACAAATATTACTGCTCTCGTTAAAACAGATGATATTGTTAGTACTTTTATCAGAGGTGAGCAGTGCTGGCTAAATGATTAACGTCGATACCATCAAATCGTCTAATCCAGATAAAAAGTATCGGCGATAATCGTTAAAGATATTCTTTAATCTCGGGCTCAAAGATATTCGATTGAATTCTTCAGTTTCTGGAGAAAAACTGCAAGACTCATAACAAAATTTGCCCAATATTTATTAATCAGTAAGAATAGTTGCATACTCTACAATGCATCATTTCAATTTCTTTTCCAATCATTGAATGCTTTTCGACAAAAATTTAACATCCCCAAAAGAAGATCGTCGATACAGACTTCAAGGTTTTTGAAAATTTAACACAGTCGTTAATTCGTTGATGAAGAAAATAAAGACGTTAAATGATTATTGGTTGACGAAACTGTTATTTTTATCGGTGTCCACCCCTGCTTATAATTATCATTAATATTAATATTAATATTATTATTATTATTATGATTATTATTATTATCATTATTACTATTATTATTGTTACTATTAATATCATCATTATCAACATCGACTTTATTAATATCATTATTTTTGTTATCACAAAAATTCATTTGCTTCAGTGTCACCTGTGAAGTTTTGTTCATCAATCGAGCGACGGCTGAGCAGTTATTATGTTACACGTACCATATGTTGCATACATATTGGAAAACGTTAGAAAGCAATGCTCATCAGCAGTGAAACTCTATCAGGAAATTAGCAAGGAACGAGTTGGGTTCTGAGAGCAATTATTTGGAATATTCTGTTGAAAATTCAAAATTAGTCGAAAGGTGTCGTTTTCTGCGTCGAATGTTTCGGCTACACGATAATGGCGAGGTAGTTTTGGCTCACTCTGAAGTGCTTATGCCTCAACCGAAAACTGTGGTGGAACTATTGAAAGTGCTGAAATTAACACTAACTCTTGCCTTCAGGCTAAATGAACGCTATTGATTCTGAGTGAATACTATGATGAATACACACAGACATAGCACTAAACTCTCTTCAACAACACCTCATATTTTCAGAACGTAACAAAATACCGAAAAAAAATTGATGACGCATCAACAAATATGTGCCACCAACGCTAGAATAACAGCTGCTCTGGTTTGTTATTCTTGCGCTGCATTCGCAAAACGAAACTTGCTGTGAAGTTTCATGGAATTTTGTCATGTTAAATCTTTTCACTCATCAATTTCCATGTTAAAGATTTTCCGTCGCAAAACAAGTTACGAAAAGTGCTTCGCATTAAAATAACTAATAAACAAAAGCAACTTGGAGTATGGTCGTGTATCATAGCGTAAATTATGCTTAATTTACCTTGAGAAATAAGCCTGAATGGTGAATTTTGAATTCGTCACTTTTTAAGCATTTGTACAATGCCGTAGCTGTTGGCAAGTGATGATTACTGCGAGTAACACCCCCATTATTCGTCTTCCATTTATCTTCAACTTTGTTTTTATTATTCAACGACAACACGTCGCTGCTCGTTTCGAGATGGATGCACTCGCTTTTAACACAGTCACGTACACTGCTTGCCATTTATTAAGATCGACTTTTTCTTCTTTTTTATATGACCTTTTCCTTTTATTCTTCTGAATAGAAATTTTATTGAGGCGATTTACTTTCAGAATCAATCCATATTGTTTGTTATGGTTATTCTGTCAAAATAAGCAGCAATTCCTATTGCTTTCTACGTAGACAGATGTATGGTGATAAGAAACCTTCCGAAACTCTATTGAGAAGGAAAAAAAGGGGGATAGATGAATTTCTGTGTTATAATCGGGTTGATAGATGCAAGTTTAAAATATTAGTGCGTTTCTTATCATCTTGTATTATCATATTCAATGGAACTTCATATTCTGTCGTGTACACACGAACGAGTAAATCGTTAATCAATCGTTCAACGTCGATAAACAATGGCAACTGTTGCAAGTGCTGTCACTGCTAGAATGCCTGATTTTTCTTAAAACTTAACAACAACGAAAATGGCTCAGAGGAAGTATTCTGACTGGCCTGCCGAATTCAACGATTACAAACAACGTGCTAAGATCCAGTCGGAGAGGTGATCAATATCCCCGATAGAACAATTTCCATAGTGCTCATCAAAAGCGAAGTGCACGTATTTTACTCAACTATCGATCTCATTACTGATTCAATTTCCCGAACGACAAGGAGCAATGCATAACAATCAGTTCGAAACTGTGATATTGTGCTTAAACAATAGTTACAGTGATAATGATACCAGTATGGATATGATTTCGTAGTGACGAAATACCGCTTCAATCAACAACTATGCATGACAACACTAAAAGTAGTAACAGTACGAACGGTGCTACTTTCAAAATAATATTAATATTGAAAGTATCACTAGTGAAGATAAAGATAGCAATGAAACTGGTGTTTTCTCGACCCATGAAGCTCTACTGAACGCAACCAACCCATATATGGTTAGCAGTAAGATGAAGCGAAAATAAAGTGCTTTTAAGACTGATAATAATAAGATGATTAATATGATACTTGGATTGCAGATCTATTAGAAACGAGTTGTATTGACGTCATCAGTACTTATTATCATCTGCTATCATTAATCAGTTCAATACCGACGAAAACAACGCCTCTTCATTCATCCGTTCAACTCAGTTCCATTCAGATGTTCTTCCTTGGTGAATGCGTTTTTTGGGTAATGACGCAATTAAGAGTGCATTCGAGTCATCACCATAATCATCACAATCTCACAAAATTGCAAAAACTTTTGTGGTTCCTTTTGACTTTAATCTTCGATATATTAACAATTGTCATGCGAAATTAATTATTGTTTAAACCCTCCTTGATTATCAACACTCCCAGTTAACAACATGCAACTAATACTACATTATGCATAAAGCATACCATTGAGCTTGCAAATTGATTAACATGATCGTAGCATATTTCTCAAATGAGTATTATAACTTCAGTGATGCATACACAAGGACGGGAAGATTGGATGAGTGGTAAATTAAAATGAATGGAACTTTTCACTCATCACAGCTGGAATTCTTTCAAACTGCGACCGCTGATTTTCAACCAAACAAACCAAGCAATGTACCGTCGATGATCTTTGATCTGCATCATAGATAAGAGAATAGAATATCGAAAGATTTTTACGGGTATCATTAGTATCGATTGGAGTAGTTGATAGTGGAAAAGAAGATACGATGCTGCTTGACGCAATTAACAATTAACGATTTGTACTCTCGTCTTTGTCGCTGATTGTGAGATATGGAAGTAATACCTTTCTGCTGGTTCGATAAGACTGATCGAGATGATAACGACGACCTGTTTTGTGAAAGAATGCATTGACGTCAATCACAGCAGCTATGTAAAATTGACTTTTTTAAAACAAAAAAGTTTCAATGATAAATCTTTTATTTCGTGAGAAATGACTGACAAAACGCAAACTTTTTATGTATATGACATTAAAAACGAACAAAATAGTGACATTATATAGCTGTTTCTTAACTTTCCTATGTTTGTTTTTCCATCCGATAATGTAATGCGGGAATTTCCCAACCGGGGTCCGAGAAAGAGTGGGGTGAGAGGGGGCTGGAGAGTGGGTGCGATGAGAGGTGCGAGAGGAGGTCGAGATGAGGTTTCATTTTTTATCAATTAAAGTAGGCGAGGCACATCGGGTTGTGAACTCAGCATTCTACTGCCCACCTTCATTTTTTGAAATATCTTTGTTTTGTTTTGTTTCAGATTCTCACGAAATTATATTGTAGGGGGTCCGAGGGTATCTTGAGATTTGTTGTAGAAGGTGCGAGGGCATCTTAAAATTTTCTAGGGGATCCACGGGGCAAAAAAGGTTGGGAACCACTGATATAATGACTAACTTATCAGGCTGTTGATCAAACGTAAGCGTTAAGTTGCAGTGAAATTCTACCAATATTTCTCTAATAATCATGTTGTGAAGAAAAAGCGGAATTATTTATGCATATTTTTACTTTAATCAAGTGTCTTCTATCAAAACAATTTTTAATTAACATTGCTAGTGGGTGCGGAAAGTGGCGAATTTTCATCACCATGATTGCTTTGATGAATATTATCATTATATTTCTAAACGAAAACGAAATTGATGTTCATGTTTTCCTTTTCTTATTTCGAAAACAGTCTTGATAAATAATGCAAGAAGAGCATAAAGCATCATCACAGTATTTCTAATTGTGACAGTGTTGTATTAATAATACGAAAATGAGAAAATTGTGCTAGAATAGATTCATATTTGCGAACTTCAAATTTTAAAGCGTTTTAATGCTGACAATACATGAATGATTATTCACAAAATGTAGTGTTTGGTCGGTGCTGAATGATCGCTAGATGAACGAGAATGTGCTAAAATAAGCGTTATTTCGTCATCAGTTCCTTCGTTGAACCTAAAACGTATTCTGCCTGAAACAGGTTACTACCTGCCACTTCATTAGTTCAACTCATTGCACCACCTAACACGCTAACGTAGTAATCATGTAGGTATTATTAATGCATGTATATTTTGTGGGTGTGAGCAGAGATAGAACTGAC